CCTCTGAAAAGAGAATGGGGAAGAAAAGGGGATTTCAGTGACTTTGAGCGTGGCGTGGTTGATAGTGCCGGGCGGGCTGGTCTGAGTATTTCAGAAACTGCTGATCTGCTGGGATTTCCATACACAACCATCTCTCGGGTTTACAGAGAATGGTCCCAAAATAACCTTTGAAGTAAATGAATTGTATCAATAAAACAATCAATAAATATAAATGATGAAAGTAATCCAATAAATGGAAATTAACGTGCAAGATACTCTCAGTGAAAAAGAGTGAATCTCTCAAAAATTAAATCATAACAGTGAGAACTTCATAAATGGACCATTTAAAATCGGTCAAACAATCAGCACCAATCAAATATAAATGCGATCCGGATATTTTCTCTTTTTTAATCGCAAACACCAGTTGGTTTTGACACTATGAGAGCCATTTAAAGGAGAACTATGAGGGGGGGAGGGGGTGATTTCCACTCACCTCATAGTTCTAGCCGACCTGTGACAATGAGACTGTCACAGGTCGGCTCAGTAGATCGGGAAGTGAGGGAACACATACCGGCGTTCTCTCACCTCTCGATCCTGTCAAGGCTCTCTGCCGTGACAGGGGAGGGGCTGGATTCCCCCCTCCCCGCTCCGTACTGGCGGAACGGATGGGGGAGGGGGCGGGTACAGCTGGCTCTGCCTCTAGATAGGCAGAGCCAGCTGTCACTCCCGCAGCTGGGCGGATCTCCACATCGATGTCGGGATCCGCTCCGGCTGCGGCGTCTCAGTATACCGCGTGCTGTAGCTCGCGGTATACTGAGCCTAGGGTGATGGGAGGACGCTAGTTTGTGTCCTCCCGTTACCCTAAGGAGAACTATGGGGAAAAGCCCTGACCCCATAGTTCTCCTTTAATATATCGATTTAAAATTTAGATTAGGGCACTTTAGGGGTTTATCGCCGCAAAATCATTGTATACTAAATCAGCTATGGTCTGTAAAAGTTAACCCATGTTTGATCAATATGCCCCTGACATAGGATTTATGAGCCGCACAGACTTGGCATCTCTAAATAAAACATATATTTTAAAAAATTGTAGCTCCTCATCACCTTCTGTGAGGGGGCTACTAGACATTTAGTGATTGTCAGGGCTGTAGTCAGCCTGGTTGGATTATAGTGGCATTTATCTGGTTAATTCCAATAATTCTAATGTATTGTTGGACAGACAATGAAGGACACTGTGAGTGTATGTACAGTACAGCAATCAATCACTGGGTGTCTCTCAACCAGTGGTGCATGCTGGGATAGGGTACATATACTGGAGGGAATTGCCATGTGCTCAGACTAGTTTGGGACCAGCCATGGATAAGCACAGGACTGGGTGCTGTCCAGCCGCCTCCCAGGCTAGGCCCGAGGCCTGGAGGTGGGCAGGGGCAGGAGTGTGGGAAGAGTTTCACTAGGCCTCCAAGATGGAGGAGGCCTGTGCTGTGGTCAGAGGAGGAGAACCAGGGAAGATGATGGCTACTGGAGGTGCGTGGAACATAGAGGACCTCTGGAGCATTGCTGGTGTCTCTCCTGCTGAGGATCTGTACTCATCCCTACTCATCTGTTACTCAAATTACTTTTTGCTGTACCACAAGTGGAGCTATACTGAGATGCTAAAGAGGTCTGGTGAGTCTGGAGCCCATGTCTATTATACCCTGGAGGTCTAGAACCCCTACACCCTCTCTCCCCAGTGTGAAGATGTTAATAAAAGTTATTCAGCATTGATTTACTGGAGTATATATCAGCTTTGTGGGCTCTAGAAGAGGGCAGTTAAATGCTAATGGGGCAGCTGAAGAACAAATCCCCTAGACAACTAGTGGTGACCCGGGTTATTCTGCCAGCTCCTTCGGGGGTGAGCACTACAAAACTAATAAAATAAAAAGTCATTTTCAAGACGCTTACAGCTAGACAGAATGATAACATTGATAAATATAACAACATCTGGACCCCTTGGATAGACCATTTATTTCCCTCCAAATTTAATCGACTCTCAACATTTTTGGCCTTTATGGACTGGTTCTGTCACTGGTGTCACTCCCTCTTCTTGTGTGTCATTTATTCTGTGGCCTTCCCTCCCCCCAATCCTCTTCCCTATCCCGAGACCTACTCATTGTATATTGGAATATCACCTCCTCATTCGCCCCTCCCAATTCTCTGTGATGCGGGAGCCTTGTTCCAATGTTGACCCCATGCTGAGGGGACTGGACCTCCCATTTAAATTATTCTGCCTACTGCAATCTGTGTATTGTAAAGTACACATTGTAAAGTTGCTACTGGTGGTCGTATGTTGTATAAACTTTGTCTCTTGGATTATTTTCTGCACATGCTGTGCCTAACTTATGGGTTGTGCACTGAAAACTTTGAAACCCTCAATAAAAATGAATTGGGCCCAAAAAGTCCTCATATTATTGTAGTACATAATGTAACAACCAAGACTTGCATAGTATTTGAGGTTGAATAAAGACATAAGTCCATCAAGTCCAACCTGTGTGTGTGTGTGTGTGTGTGTGTGTGTGTGTGTGTGTGTGTATAGATCCCTGAGTGTTCTCATTCTTAAGAGTACCTGTACCCCTGTACATTGCGGTCTCTCAGGAAGTCGTCCAAAAGCTTCTTGAATGATTCCAGACTATTTGCGGAAATCACTGCTTGAGGCAGCGAGTTCCAGACCCTAACCGCGCGGACTGAGAAGAACCCCCTTCGCCCCTTGTGTTTGAATTTTTTTTCTACCAGTTTTAGGTGGTGGCCTCTAGTCTTTGTTACGGAATTAATCTCAAAGAGTTTGTTGCTAATGTTGCTATGACTGGTCTTGTGTATGAAGGTCAGACAATTTCCGATACAACAAAGTAGACCTTGATTTCTATGAAATGTTCCCCTTGTGTCTCAGGTCCTGTGTGCCGTGATTGCGGGTCTCCTCCAGTTCTCCTTCCTCTGTGCCTTCTGCTGGATGTCTCTGGAGAGCGCCCTACTCTTCATGACGGTCCGGAACCTGCAGGCCATGAACTACCTGACATCCAAACGCTCCCATTTCCCGTATATGGGTATAGCCGGTTTCGGAATTCCTCTCATCATCATTATCGTCTCTGCAGCTATGCGGCCGGATGGCTATGGAACAGAAAAATAGTAAGTTGTCTAAGCCAATATACAAAAGGTCTCAGTTCCGGTATCGCTCCTTCTATGTTCTCTCTCTCAGCTTCGCCCTTCCTGAAACTTTCTCCAACCACCAAATACACTTCCAGAGAATCTCTCATCTGCTCTGAACTCTGCTGTGCTATTGAAATGTGATTTATAAAGTGCAGATTTACATAGAATGACATGCGGCTATGTTTTCCTCTAGTTGTTGGCTCCATCTTGACCTCATCTGGAGTTTCCTGGGTCCAGTGTGCGTGTTCATCACTGTGAGTATATAGTATGAGATGTATATCATTGGGTTTGTATCTTTCCTACATATCACTTATTGTGTCTCCATAGGTATACGATGTGATCCATCTAGTACCTATAAATTAATCACTACTCAATGCATGACCAACATTGTATTCTTCCCAGAGATATATTATGAAGTGTAGGCTGTGGTGTCCCTAGTCTTTTAACCGACTGAGGTGGTGGGGGGCTCTCTACAGGTGTCGCCACACAAGACGGCACCTTCTGCAGGCTCTGCATCTCTCCGCCCAGCTCATAGCAACCTGCAACGCTCTGGCTGGCTCCTTACCCAGCTCCTTGCAACCAGTGGCATCACTGAACGGTAGGGTCTGATCCCTGAACGAGAGGGTCTGATTCCTGAACGGGAGGGTCTGATTCCTGAACGGGAGGGTCTGATTCCTGAACGGGAGGGTCTGATTCCTGAACGGGAGGGTCTGATCCCTGCACGGGAGGGTCTGATCCCTGCACGGGAGGGTCTGATCCCTGAATGGGAGGGGCTGGTCCCTGAATGGGAGGGGGTGTGGGAGGGTCTGATCCCTGCACGGGAGGGTCTGATCCCTGCACGGGAGTGTCTGATCCCTGAATGGGAGGGTCTGATCCCTGAATGGGACGGTCTGATCCCTGAATGGGAGGGTCTGATCCCTGAATGGGAGGGTCTAATTCCTGAATGGGAGGCTCTGATCCCTGAATGGGAGGCTCTGATCCCTGAATGGGAGGCTCTGATCCCTGAATGGGAGGGTCTGATCCCTGAATGGGACGGTCTGATCCCTGAATGGGAGGGTCTGATCCCTGAATGGGAGGGTCTAATTCCTGAATGGGAGGCTCTGATCCCTGAATGGGAGGCTCTGATCCCTGAATGGGAGGGTCTGATCCCTGAATGGGAGGGTCTGATCCCTGAAAGGGAGGGTCTGTTTCCTGAATGGGACGGTCTGATTCCTGAATGGGAGGGTCTGATTCCTGAATGGGAGGGTCTGATCCCTGAAAGGGAGGGTTTGATCCCTGAATAGGAGGGTCTGATCTCTGAATGGGAGGGTCTTGTACTTGTATCTTAGTAGAGGGCAAACGTCTTACATTGTCCATTATAAATATGATTTCCAGCTATATAAAATCATAAAGTCCACATCAAAGTTCACATGCTTATCTCTTCCAGCCTGAGCTCTGCTGTACATGGACTGAAAGAGGCCGAATTCAGATCCTTGCATTCATTGTATTGTTGTGTTTCTGAATACGGAGCCTCCGATACCTTCCTGGAGTTCGGCTTTCACTCTCACAATGTATTTTTCCTCAGACGAACTTCACTCTTCTGGTTCTCACCTTTGCGCTTCTCAAGAAGAAAATGGCCTCTCTTAATTCAAACGTTTCAACCATAAAGCATACCCGGTAAGTGGGGCCCGCACGGCTTCATTCAGTTAGAAGGAGAGCAATGATCAAAGTACAGCCACCCAGAGCAACCAGTCAGGAGTTATCTTTGGACCTCTGTCTGCTGGAGTGCTGGACTTTGCATGTCTTCCTATATGGGCTTCATGTAATAGGATTGCTATCATAGTAGGACTATAGTAATATGTATTGAAGAGTTTACTCAATAACAAGGCTGGACAGATTACCGTGAACTTCAAATGGCAACCCGTCCAGGCTGGGGACCAGCGGCCACTTTCAAGTCACAATGGAAAATGTGCTTCCAGTAAAGAAAGCAATAAGTTTACTAAATTTTAGAGATGTCCCCAGAAAAAGAGGTGCGGGCTGACAAGCACCCTATGTGATAGCACAATGTATGTGACAAGAGCTTGGCGAGGAGATCTGTATGGCCCTCACACTTCTCCCTGCCCGGCTCTTAGCAACCTGGTCTTCTTGCCCCACATGACCCAAAGAAATGGCACCTGAGACAATAGCATCAAGCTACCTCATTAAAGGAACGGCCCTGTCCACAAGTCCTCTCTCTCCTGGCCACATCTGTGCCATAAAGCCCGATAGGAGAGGACTCTATAGAGAGAGGACTTGCAGTGCGGGATGTAAATAATTCCTGCAGGCCATGGGAGTCAGAAGGAGGTGAGTGTGCATCTCTGTAGGGGAAGGTGGGGATCTCTTAAGTCAGGGTGGGCAAAACAGATAAGTGCCCTTATTCCTTATCATTTTTGTATTAAATAAAGTTAACAGATTTAGGTTATATTCAATTTTGTACTTACAAAATTTGGTTTTAAACAGAATTCATGGACTTTCTTTGATATGATTTATTACTATTGATTTAGGGGGGTTGTTATTATAAGATGTGGTTGTATGTATATACCGTGTTTCCCCCAAAATAAGACACTGTCCTATATTTTTTTTTACTCAAAAAAACACACTAGGTCTTATTTTTAGGGGTAGGTCTTTTTTTTTTTAATGTACAACAATCTAAAGTTAATGTAAATTCAAATTAAATAATCCAAAATGGCAAAGTTTAGTATAGGGTGATCAGGGCAATCAGGGGTGCCATACCTGCCCAAGAGCAATTTGGTAACCAGAATGAGCGAAGCGCGCTTTCACTATCGATTCCTCACAGGCGGGGAGTGCATTTGGTATCACTCCGCCTGTGGCAGGAGGCGGGGCTATAGAGGAGGCATCGGCTTCTGCAGCTCTGCTCCCGCCTCGATTCCTCTAGCGCTGCCTTCATTGGCACCGCTGATTCTCTCCCGCGTCTCTTCAAGTTCCCCCTTATGTCACCACCGGCCCTGGGAAGGGTCACAACTAGGTCTTATTTTCGGGGTAGGTCTTATTTTGGGGGTAGGTCTTATTTTCAGGGAAACACAGAAGTAGGTGTGTGTTGAATTGTAGAGTATGGGCATAGTTGGGGATGTGTTTTTTGTACATTGTATATAGACATATTCCAGAGATGAAGGAATGGAATGCATTTTGTATCTTGGGGAGCTTGGAAAGGAAACTGTACTGACTTCAAAGACAGTCTCAATAGTGTGTGGATTTGCTTTTACATGAAATTTGTTGACCTTCTTTCTCCCACAGTCTTCTGACATTCAAGGCTTTGTCCCAACTCTTCATATTGGGCTGTACCTGGATTATTGGAATCTTCCAGTTTGGATCGGGCGCCTTGGTCATGTCCTACATCTTCACCATCTGCAACAGTCTCCAGGGATTGTACATCTTCTGTGTGCACTGCCTGCTCAACCGCCAGGTCATGTCATACTTGATTATCACGTCTCATGATGCCTATGATACTCTTTTGTTGGATCTCAGTGAAATAGCCCTAACAGTATTCTATTTACATGTACAGGTATGGAAAGAATATATGATGGGATTCCATAGATTCCATTCCAAGAAGTCGGAGTCGGAAACCATGTCTAGCAATACAGCGCCCACCGCATTAAAATTGGTAGGTCACCACATCAAAGTTGGCAGGTCTCCACATTAAAGCTGGCGGGTCTCCACATTAAAGTTGGCGGGTCACCACATTAAAGTTGATAAGGTCTCCACATTAAAGTTGATAAGGTCACCACATTAAAGTTGATAAGGTCACCACATTAAAGTTGATAAGGTCACCACATTAAAGTTGATAAGGTCACCACATTAAAGTTG